TGGAGACCTACCTGACGAAGCAACGACTGGTGGTGGTGTCTGTGAGTAGGAGGACCTCAGGTGTGTGATGGAGGCGAAGACCCACCTGAAGAAGAAGAAGAAGAAGAAGAAGATCATCATCGAGGTGTCGTCATAGGTAGCAGTAGGTCAATAACAATAATAACACCTTTACCTGTAGACGACACTATAATGATGATGATGATGATCTTCCCAGCTGCTTGTGTTTGTGTACCTGTCTGTGTACCACTTACCTGTGTGTACCTGTCTGTGTACCACTTACCTGTGTGTACCTGAGTCATGGTGGGCCATTATGTTAAACGTGAGGCTATTTTAAAAGTTTACTGTCACTTAATTGAATTTTCTGGCCTGGTGTGTGTGTGTGTGTGTGTGTGTGTGTGTGTGTGTGTGTGTGTGTGTGTGTGTGAGAGAGGTAAGAGGGCGCGTGTCGCTTCAAACAGCCAGGGACACACACACACACACACACACACACACACCAGTCACAATTTCCCTCTGTTAACCACCTGGAGTCGCCCACAAACAGTCATAAATTTCTTAACTGCATGTTCATGGTTCCTCCTAGCCAGTCAACCAGTCCATCTTCCCCCATCCACCCCCCAGGCTTACGTCTTGGGGAGATGAGAGGAGGGAGGGGGGAGAGGGGGGGAAGGGGAGAGGGGGGAAGGGAAGCTGTTTGTGTGTTGTGGTTTGGTCATAATTATTAATCTTTACCCACAAGATACAGTTGAGTTTGTTTTTACTTTGTGTTTTGTGGTAGAGTGCGTGAGGGGGAGGAGGAGGGTGTGTGTGTGTGGGGGGTGGGGAGAGGAGATGTTCTGTGTGTGTGTGTGTGTGTGTGTGTGTGTGTGTGTGTGTGTGTCTGTCTGTCTGTCAGTGTGTGTGTGTGTGTGTGTGTGTGTGTGTGTGTGTGTGTGTGTGTGTGTTCTGTTTTAATATCGCTTCTTAACCGACTTACAATGGCAACTAAGAAAAGGAAAATTCATCACAGGTTATAGGTCAGAAATTACAGGTCACAGGTCACAAAGGTTAGGTTAGGTTAAGTTAAGGTAGGTTAGGTTAGGTAAGGATGCTGTTGTTATCATTTTAAACAGTACATATTACACACACACACACACACACACACACATCCGACCTCCACTCACCACCACCTCCTACCCCCACGTCAGCTGTTACCCTGCCTCCCTCCCCCCCTCCCCTCACCCCCTCACCCAGGATATGCGTCATCACCTCTGCTGGGTGTTGTAATGACCAGACCGTAATTGACCTCACCACGACCTACACTTGTTGCTCCCGCTATTTAAAACTCACTCTTGCCTTTATATTGATGGTGCCCTCTCCCTACCTCCCCCTGCCCCTACCTACCCTGCCCCCCTACCTACACCTCCATTTTCTCTCCCTATCTCTTTATTCTCCCTCCCCTCCAATAAGCCCTCCCCTTTCCTTTCCCCCACCCTCTTCCCTCCTCCCTCCCTTCCACTAACCCTCCCTCTTCTTCCCTCAGGCCTCTCTCCTCTTCCATCCAGCCTCCCTATCCCTCCTCCACTCCCCCGCCTCACCAGCTATCCATCACCACTCCCCGCTATCCTCTCCTATCCATTATCCACAAGGTGTTATAATCGTTTACCGTTGACGCCTTTTACGCAGGTTAGGGATTACCTGTACGCAGTTAGATCACTTACCTGTACGTACCTGTTCTTGGATGGCGTAGGATGAGAGGGTGTGTGTGTGTGTGTGTGTCTGTGTGTGTGTGTGTGTGTGTGGTTGACTCACCTAAGTTCTTGACTCACACTATAATATTGACTCATACTTGATTCATACAAGTTTTGGAGTCACTCACATCAATCATTGACTTACCAACTCATATTGACTCAGCCCCATCTCAGTAACTTAACACTTAATTAACTCATCATCCTCAGTTTGTAACCCGGAAGTGTGAGTTAACAGTGAGGACCCATCATCCCCCCCCCCATCCACTCCCTCCTCAAGGATACCCTCCACTCCTACAGGATACCCACGCACACGTACCCACTATCAGGAGGAAGTTTAAACACTTGCTTTGTATGGCTGTGACGTACCCTCCTAACCCCCCCTCCGTCCCTCCTCCTCCCCATCTCTCCCCCTCCCTGTTGATGAAATGTTTAAAGTGTTTCTTATATGAATGATTTACATGTATACACAAAGCTTGGGTTTAAGGCTTCTAATCCTATAAAGCTTGGGTTTAAGGCTTCGAATCCCACAAAGCTTGGGTTTAAGGCTTCTAATCCTATAAAGCTTGGGTATAAGACTTCTAATCCCACAAAGCTTGGGTTTAAGGCTTCGAATCCCACGCTTGGTGTTGATATAAAGCTTCAATATGACTTCCTCAGACAGAGATTGGTTTAACCTTTGATATAACTCCTATGGCTTTTGTTTATACACACTATATTACTCCTGAAGTACATAACTGAGTACATAGCAAAATATGAGTACATATAACCACATCCTAACACGTTAAAAGGAGGTAAATCACCATAAATCACTATAGATCAATGACGAAATCACCACCTCACTACCTAAAGACCTGTACGTGTTATTTTTGTAAGATATTCGTAGTTTTAGAGAGATCCCAGACCCGTGTGTACCTGCACTGAAGGTTACGACTGATGCTGGTAGAGGGAGCTGGTGATCAGGGTGTGTCTTATCTTGCGGGTAACAGTAGCACAAGTCGTTGGTAGTCGTGGTGGTAGTCGTTCGTAGTCGTTAAGTTTCTGTGTTGACTACCTGTTGTTGTTATTACCTCATTTACTTCAACAGGTGAGAGTTAAAGAGGATGTGAGGAGAAAGGAAGAGAGGGGTAAAGGAGATGATAGAAATATATGGTCGTTGTTTTGATCTGTTTCCAAACCCTTCTGTAGTCAAGACCAAAAGTGGATTCGATGGTGTTATGGGATCGGATTCGCTTATAGGGGATTTAACACCTTTTTGTGGATATTTTGTTTTTTGTTTTGTTTATGTTAATCCGCTGGTGGTGTTTACATAGAGTTACTGTAATTAGCAGGTGAGTTCAGGTAGATGTAGGTGTAGATGCTGTGGGGGAATGATGGTGGAGGTGAGAGAGGGAGATAAGGAACGAAGGAAGGAGGTAGGAGGGAGGTGGTGGGGAACGATGACGAAGGAGGAAGGTAAGGAAGGAAGAGAGAGATAGAGAACGAAGGAGGGAAATAATTGCCACCTTATCCAGTCCAACTCTGAATCATGGAACCGTTCACTGAAGGTACAACTGAACGACGTTTTTTTCGATCATTAGACCTTGTATATTCAGTCACTGGTTCTGTAAAATAAATAATAATAATAATAAATAAAAAATAAGTTACATACATATTAATGGAAGTGACTTTATAAACACCCGATATAAAAAAAAAATACTTATGTTGATCTGAAAAATGAAAATTACTATAAATTCCCTAAAATCTACATAGGAAAAAATTAATTTAGTCTTAAAGGGAAAAAATCGACTCAGAGGAGCTTAATATAGGCGTTGAGTCAGTTTGTTTCGTCTCCACAGTCCGGCTCTGAGAATCGGCTGACTTTCACTGTGGTTGGGGCGGGCGGAGGTGATAACTACCAGTGTGTGTGTGGGCGTACAAGGGCGTGAGCTGTGCCTAATGACTTTACTGTGGCTAAGGTACAGAATCAAAATGTGTCACTTGATGATTAGATACCTTGATTTATTTAATTATTATCTTAACCTAACCTAACCAAATCCCATCTCCCAGTTAGCGTTAGAGTGTTTAATCAGCAGGTGAAATAAACTCAGGTGGGATCAAGAAGAGGAGTAGGAACAACACGATTTGACCTTCACTACACACACACACACACACACACACACACACACACACACACACACACACACACACACACACACACACTAACCCCCCCCCACCACAATCAATTATCTGTAGCCACAACCTCTCCACAACCTCTCCACAAAACAACCTCAATGTGTGGAGTTGCCCCGAGGCCCTTAGGTCAACAACATGTGGGGTGGGGGGGCTGGAGGGTTGTTGGCAGGGTTGTGAAAATGGGTCCTTGTTATGGTTGTGATTCTGTAATGATGATGGTGACAGTACATTCTCGTTCGTTAATTCTCTTATCAGTAGTTTACGTCCATGCGTCAAGTTTACATCCATGCGTCTAGTTTACGTCCATGCGTCAAGTTTACATCCATGCGTCTAGTTTACATTCATGCGTCAAAGTTTACATTCATGCGTCAAAGTTTACATTCATGCGTCAAAGTTTACATTCATGCGTCAAAGTTTACATTCATGCGTCAAAGTTTACATTCATGAGTCAAAGTTTACATTCATGCGTCAAAGTTTACATTCATGCGTTTAGTTTACATAATAGTTTACGGTATTCGTCTTAGTTCACTGAGAGAGAGAAAAAAAAAAGACGTTACCGTTTTGGGTTGATCTTCCAGGTAAGTATGACGTCATGAGTGGCCGAATATGTCGTCACGGTCGAGTTCTGAGAAGGTGTGACGTAGGGGGAGGGGTCGGAGGGGGTGGGGAGGGGCTGGATGACTGGCTGTGGTAAGGTGAGGTGTGTTTGTGTGGTCTAAGCCGCTGGCCCCTACCTACCTACCTATCTATCTACCTACCTACCTATCTACTTCAAGGTTACTCCCACAACACTCATCTCTTCCCAACTACTAAATTAATGACATATCTTAGTTAGTCGTTGTTGAGGAGCCTCCCGCTTGATCATATAGATAAGATAATTAAAAAGATTTGAGATTTCCTCCCAGACATATATAAGTTATTTCCTGTTCTTTATTACGTGGTTTTTGTTATTGTTTATTAGTTATTGTATTGTTATTACTGCCGGATAAAGTATTAGTGATTTATGAGAGTGTGACGGGCAGGGTAGACCGTGTGAGTGATGCACCGTCTTCCCACCTCCTGGCGCCACCGTCCACTGGGGTTGGGCTGCCCGTGCCACCACTTACGTTACGTTACTCAGTGTGCGTCTGACCGCCCGCGTGTGTGGAGGTGATAGCGCGCTCTCCGTCTACCTTACCTGTGTGTGTGTGTGTGTGTTACCTGTTCACCTGTGTTATTACGCTTAATACGCCCTAGCAAAGTTTACCCTAAGTGTTTAAACGTGTTCCCATACCTACAGTGATAGCCGTGTTTACTGCACGTTGATGAGACAACTGCAGGAAGTGGGTGTTGAAACTTGCAAGATTTTTGTGTTGTCAGTGTTCAGTGTGTGTGTATGTCGTGTGCATGGCGTGTTGTGACCTGGATGTTGCTGAGGACAGTACTACAGCTACCAACACCAAAAGTCTTGCCCACTAGTTTATAAACCAAGTCAAAGTGAAAACTGAATAAATATCTTTTAGTCGTATTGGCAGACCTCGTCAGTGAAGGTGAAACGCTGATAATGTTGTCACCGTATTATATAGTGAACACCGTGTGGAAACTACTGTGAACGAGAGATGATGGTGAAGCTCACTATCCAACACAGCACCTAACATTATATACATGTGCTGTGTTGTGACGTCAAGCTGTGTTAAAAAAGAAAAATAAACGACTAATATATCCGTGAGGGCATTAACTATGATGGTTGTGGTCCCCGTGTATACTGTACAGGCAGCAACACGGCCTGTTTTAATTATCAAGTTTCTTTTTTTTTCTGTGTATGTGCGTGTCCATGTGTGTGTTTTATCTGGTACACACATCGCCCTCCTTGAGAATACACCGTCCACCCCCCCCCCCAAGAGACAGACAGACAGACAGACGTGTATTTTGTATCGATATTGTTTCATGTTAAAGGATGTGGGTCACTTATAAACTGGACCAATGTTGTCCTCTCCGCCCACGCCCACGCCCCCCTTACCAACTCACCCTCCCTGCCTCCGTGTGTTCTCAGTGGGCGTGGGTGGTACAGTCGCGCCCACTGTTGCAAGGGCGTGGGTTTTTCATATATATTTATTGTACATTAATCCTCAATTTAAGACTCAGAAGGTAAAGACTCTCAAGGCTTCAGCACACCTGTCCAGTAATTTACCTGTAAGTGATTGTGTGTTACTAGTGGATCATATGAAGATTAGCCACCCCCTTCCTATAGCTTCTCTCACCTGATGATTAAAACACCTTTACCTGGGCGATGATGTGGTTTAGGTTAGGTTAGGGGTGTTTTAATCAGCAGGTGAGTTATCAGGTGATTCGATTTACATGAATAGTTTAGTGACTTCAAAGCATATGTGAGTCTGTCCCTGTAGGCTGTAAAAGGAAAGGTGGTGGTGTAGCCTCATGTCCAATTTGGTTGGTGAGTCGATGTGGTCTCCTCCCTCACTCCCTCTCTCTACTCCACTCCTTTATTCCACTCCTCTTCAGCCACTCCCACCGTCACCAACATTCAACTTGTTTTGAGTTTTATTTTTCCCAACTTCCAAATATAGTAACTAGCTACGCCTGTTAACACTTGGCCGCGAGTGTGTGTGTGTCCTAACATGGTGTAAACAAACGGTATTCCTGAGGTGTTTGGTCCCAAGGCTTTTCCCCTCTGCCCTGACGTTAAAGGTGAAATATTTACACGGATATCCGGTCGCCTTTACTCCTCGTGTTGTTAGTCTCGTTATTGTCACCGTGTATCTTAAGAGAGCCACTACCAGGGTTATTATCACAGTTAAAGTACTCGCTCGTGTGTGTGTGTGGGGCTGTGTGTGTGAAATATGCGTTGGTGGTGGTGTAACTTCCGTGTTGTTAAATATTTGTGAGAGTAAAGTGGAGCAGGTGGTTGTGAGGGAGGCAGGAGGAGGTCTACCATGGATCACACACACCCAACGGTTCACACACACAGACACACACATATACATACATACATATCTGCCGTGGACGAGATGCCTTCACCACCCAACCGTTTTCTGTAAGGAGATGTGAGGGGGAGGGAGGGGGGTGTTGGTGAGGGGGGGAAGGAGGGGGTGTTTGGGGGGGTGTAGCCGTTGGATGTTTTCTGTCCTTGGCTGATCATGCAAGTTGGAGACTGCATACGGCATGACCTGCGGCCTGCACGAAGGTTATATCACCACCACGGACCATGATACAGGTTATGGTGGTCTGTCCTGCTGTACACACACACACACACACACATACACACACACCTCCATGAAACACTGTAAATTATGTGTGTCTCTCAGGAATGTGTTGAAGGGGTCACCAGAAAGTATGTCAAACACTTTACTTAATATCCTTAGAAAAACTCAGGATTAACTCAAGAGGCCATGATATCATATACTGTACTGGTCACAACAGCTGTCACGCCCACCCAAAAAATGACATCACCCCCGACGCCCACGCCCACCACCAGTGATACAGTGATGGGGGGGGAGGGAGGGTTAATCACTCATTGTTATGTACAGTGTAACCTCTGTTTAACGGACTGTGTAGAGAAGATAGCCCGTTATATTGAGGGCCCATTTAACGGATTATATGGAGATGCAAGTCCGTTATATCAAGGTTTCATTGTATTTTTCAAGAGATAATGATAATTCTTAAACAGACAAACGGACACACAGGTGAGACAGGTGTGTGTAGGAAGACCAGGTGAGATAACTAAGGGTAACCAAAGGAACAGACCGAACACCTCTCCCCCTCACCCTCCCTCACCCTCTCACCCTCTCACCCCCCCTGCAGCTGGTGGCAAGGATCACGCCCTAGGTTTTGTCTTCCTTAACTGGATGTCCTCACACACACACACACACACACACACCATGCTGTATTGTGATCAGGTTAGTGGTCTCAGTAATGCAAGATGACAGACAGACAGACACACACTATCACTGATGTCACGTTATTATCACTTGACATCATCATCAACAGCTAATATATTATGCGTCTCTTTCGTCTTGTCATGAATCTTTGGGTATTAATGTCAGGTATCACTTCCCATGACACATCAACTAATACACACTCTCTTGTCTCGTCATGAATCATTTAACCACGAGACTACGAGACCACGACACTCCGAGACCACGAGACCCACGCATGACTCGTTACCAATAAAAAAAAACATAACCAGATCACACCTTTCAGTCACACACACACACCTCAAAACCACTCAACCTTACCTGAGTACACCTGAGATAATCAACACCTTGCACACCTTTGGGTCTTGTCTTAGTGGTGACTAATAATAAATAAGAGAAATGGGTTGACGGTGTGAGGTATGCATAGACGCACACACACACGGACACACACAGTCTTACCAATACCAGTCCACCACCTTCCTCCTCTCCCATCAATATACCACAGGAGGTCACAACTCCACATTGGTACACTGTGATCCCTTGACGGTCTACCACACGCTAAAGAGGATATATCCCCCCCCCCTTCACCACCACCACAATATAGGCTATATCATATACTATCGTTATATCGTATTACCACCCCCTGATATCACCTGTGGGGGTTAATTTAGGTTGGTGTTAGGGAGGGAGGGGGTAATTTTCAGGTGATATGTTGGTGTTAGGAGTGAGTCATGACCTCTAGCTGGTGATAAGCGTGGTGAGAGTGGTTAGGAAACGGTCTGATAAAGTTTGCGTATCAGAGAGCCTGTTTATCTGATCAACTGATACGTTTGTTGATACTGGGAGACACACCTGTGATATATTGGCAATTGGACACACCTGTTATATATTGGCACTGAAACACACACCTGTAATATATTGACACTGAGACACACCTGTTATATATTCCACTTGCCTACACACTTGCAACATGAACGCACACCTGTCGCATATGTTGGGGTTGGAATACACACCTGTGATATATTACGTTCGTATATAAACATGTGCATTTACATCTGTTTAAATTGTTGAAATATGAGCCAATTGTAAAATACCTTAGAATCAGGTGATGTTGTGTTCTTAGTAAGTTAGGAGCTGTTATTTAACTTCTTCAACTAGATATAGGTGTGTGTGTGTGTCTGTGTACGTATGTGTGTGTGTGTACGTATGTGTGTCTTGGGTAACGATAAACTCTTGTGTACACTTTCTTGTTGGTCCACACATGATGCGATAATAGGAGATATGTGTGTGTGTGTGTGTGTGTGTGTATCTGAGTCTGGATATTATTGTCTGTGTACGCATGTGTGTGTATCTGTATGTATCTTTGTGTATATGCATGGGTGTGTCTGTGTAAATGTGTGTGTGTGTGTGTGTGTGTGTGTGTACTGATTCACATTCTAAAAATATTATTCACATACACTTCCTTTCAAACCAGAAGTAGATTAACAAATGATAAGAAAAATATATATTACCTAACAGTACAGGAAGACACAGGTGACACTGTTTACCTAATTAGATAAAAACCCATTGGTATCAGGTAAGTGTTCCCTCCTATCTCACCTGGAGCGAACACGTAGCAGTGGTTTTAAATAAGACACATTAAGGCGTGAGATTGATAACAGTGGTTTGGTAATAGGTCATGGATGATTGGAATAAAATTGAACCTAACCTAACTCTAACCAAACCTAACCTAACTCTAACCAAACCTAACGTAACTCTAACCAAACCTAACGTAACTCTAACCTAACGTAACTCTAACCAAACCTAACGTAACTCTAACCTAACCTAATTCTAACCAAACCTAACGTAACTCTAACCTAACGTAATTCTAACCAAACCTAACGTAACTCTAACCAAACCTAACCTAGTATGGACCAATAGAACCACTACAGTTTTCTTCATTATTCTGTTAGTGGGGAGGGGGAAGGGGGGTTGTTCTTATGCAGGAATGACATCCCTAGAGCTGACTGACGGCTTATAACAGTAGAAATATTATAAAAGTTAATAGAATTGTTTTTTGTTTTTTTCATGGGGTGTGTGTGTAGAAATTGACTGACTGACTGTGTGTGTATGTGTGTGTGTACAGGTTGGTTGTGAGTGTGTGTGTGTGTGTGTAGAATAGAGGTTGAGTGTATTGGTGGTGGAGTGTGTGGGTCTAGATACATATTGAGTGTATGTGTGTATATAAAAGTTCGTGAAGTGTGTGTATGTGATAAGAGGTTCGTGGAC